CTTATCCTTATCCTTATCCTTATCCTTATCCTTATCCTTATCCTTATCTTTATCCTTATCCTTATCCTTATCCTTATCTTTATCCTTATCCATATTCTTATCCTTATCCTTATCCTTATATTTAACCTTATCCTTAACCTTATCCTTAACTTTATCCTTAACCTTATCCTTTACCTTATCCATAATCGTGTTTCTTTATCCCCGTCTTTATCCTTAGACGTTTATTATCCTTATTCATATCCTAACCTTTGCCTCATTCCTATCATAACCTTTGCTTTATTCCTTATCATATTCTTTATTCTCACAAAATTTTCCATTTCATCCCACTGTTGCGAATATTTGCCAACATTGAAAACTTTTCATCTTTCATTGCTGCAATGTCTTCAATTTACTGCTGCAAACAAGCTACATGTCGTCGCAGCATCCTAACGAACGACGGATAAACGAGCGCGTGCAACCAAAGCATTCAAAAGTCATTCAAAGCTCATAAAATAAGGGACCATACGCTAGGCAGTACAACAAAATGGCAAGTTCTGTTGCCAAATGACAGGATGTGCGATGAGTGGTTGGTAGCAGACAGCAGGCGGCAGGACGTTGGCATTTGAGAATGTCGAAGGCAGTGTGCATGAAGGGAGGCATTTTTGTCATTGATGGCTGCCAGTGCTGATGAAGCGCGTAATGGTGAAGTGTCAATGAAGTAACGGCGAGGAGAATTCAAAATGATATAAGGGTCGATGAATGTGTACCCAGCGGATAAGGAGCTGGCGGGTGGGTTCAGTTAAATGCGTGTGTATCTTCACTCGCCGCCATTACAGCCGAATCTTATAAGCGCGTGCTGCCTACGCTGCGCACTGTCCTCTGTGCTTGAGTAGGTGGTGGCAAATATTGGGCTAAGAGTGATGAATTATTGTCGATGCAGTCGCTGCCCCAGTACTTTGTATGTAACTGTATATATGTGCCACGAGCTTTGATTGCGCGTGTGTTTACGCAGGTAGTTGAAGAGTATAGCAGGGAGGAGCTCAGCTACAAAACGGCTTTCCACTTGAAATAAGTTCAAACAAAGGAATTCCTTCCACCAAAAAGTTCCGCAGTACACTGATGAAAATAAAAAGAAGAAAAGCAGAAAACTCTAATCCCGTTGCGATAGCGGAAATTGTTGAATTTTCAAACGGAAATCTGTGGAAAACACTCGCCAAAGCGAATCGTCAGCTGGTACGAGCGTTGTTGATACCACCGGACAGCATAAAAATTAATGAGCTTAATAATGCGGCGATTTCTGAGCGCAAAGCGAGAAAAATTTAAAATTCCAACAAAACAACTGTGTTCATGTAATAATATTTTTTCTTGTTGCTATTTGTTTCGTTTTTCATGCTCCCTTCACTATCAACTGCATGAGCGCAGCTGCTAATCGCTTCGACGCTCATGAATGCCAACTGTGACGTTGAGCGCTTTCTAAATGATTGCTCATTAATTTGCAGCGATGTCGGACGCCATTGGCGGTAATGTTATGATGCGCGACGCGCATTTGCACTGTTATTATATAAAACAGTTGAAATCCTCTTAAGTTCAAGGTTGTACACACTTACTTACGTAAGCGTTTGTTTACGATTTGTAATTTCGTTAATGCTTGCACTTACATGTAATTACAAATTAATTTAATTTTTCCTCCCTTTGAATTGAAGAAACAGATTTACTTAAATTTATTTAATTATTTTTATGCGAGAAAAGTTGTCATTGAGACACTTAATGAACTCGGTGATTTCGTCTAATTTTATTTATTTAATATTTTATTTGGTCCATAAAGGAAGTTCTGATTGTTGCGGTAACTAGACTAGCGCGTGCTGTCTCGACCAATGATGCATTTTTTTCGCTCTCCTTAAACTTTCTAAAACAATTTTTATTTATTTGCCGTTTTTTGTCACGGCAACGTCCGGTGTGTTTAACGTGGTTACCTGCTGTTCAATAACTACTTAGCCTAAATAAGAAAGACTAAAATATTAAATTTTGGAAAAAAAATATTTTTTTTTTACAAAAAAGTATTTTTTTAGTTGCATTACACCCAGCGTGCCACAACTTCTTTAACCCGTCTCAAAATTAAGTTTTCTGAAGGTTTGTAAAGTGAGTCACCAGGTTTGCAAAGTGGTAACCTCCTAATTTCGATTCAAATTTCTGTCCGCCCTGTGACTTTTTCTAATTTGTACAAAAAAAGTAGTCGTACGGAGGCAAATCTTTATATTGAGTTCGCAACTAAGTAATTGCGGATTTTTTTTTTTTTAAATCAAATAGTAGTCCCGTGGTGCAAGGTCAGGATTATATGCAACACCTTTTCGATTTATCAATTCGGGCCGCTTTTCTTCAACTGCATTATTTCATTTCGTTAGTTGTTCAATGTAGACAACAGAATTGATCGTTCGGTTGGGAAGATAATTCAGTACAGTAGAGTTTTGTGACCGTTTT